TGTTCAATTTCTTTTTCATTAGAATGAATAACTGGAATTTGAACAAGTTTGTAAATGGTTACAAATCTATCAATATTATACTCATCTCAATGTTATTATGAAATGTATTGAAAAATTCGATATATTATCATTAGATAATGAAGAAGAAATAATTATTCATTTAAGACATTTAAGTAACAATGAAAATTGTTCATTAAGAGATATAACTCAAGCTTATCAAATTTTACAAGATTGTTTTCAAAATTTAACTCATCAACATTTACAATTAGTAAAAACAATTGTCGAATATTCGAATGTTATTCAAATGATGAAAAAATTTGATCTTTATTCTACTAATGGACGACGTCATTTTCAAGAATTACGAGATAATTTAACAACACAATTTCAATTACAAGAATTAAATAATATGATACTAAATTCATTGATTATAACATATACATTAATTGAACCATTTATTTTTAAAGCTAAAAATTTCAATGATTTTATTTATCGTCTTGCTCAATTATCAAATTTAGAAGAAAATTCATTAAATCATATTAAAGGTAAACTTCAGTAATAAAACATCAATTTGAAAATATCAATCAAATGATTATAATTATTTTTTTTTTTTTAGTAATTAATGATAATATATCAATTGTAACGATGTGGTTATCAACTGAAGAAACAACAGTTTTAGACAATGCTTTGATTACTATGGAACATTTATATAAAAATGGAATTGTTAATATTTATTTACGACATTTAACAAGAAAATCATCATATTATGAAATTAGTTATTCGATTGATCGTATACAAAATAAAATAAAAAAAGTCAAAAATGAAAATAATCAGAAAGAACAAATTGAAAATAATGATGAAATTAAAATAAAAAAAATTCAATTTCTATTATCAATGTCAGATATTGATGATCATAAACGTCAATTAACATTTTGTAATGTTGATGTTCAACAAAATTTAATCTATAAAAAAGTTTTAATTGATGGACAATTAAAATTATTAAAAACAATTGAAAATATCTATGATATTTTTACTAAATTAGAATTAGCTGGTCATCCTGATTATCAATTACGAGATGAACATTATGAAATTCAT